ATACAACGTCTACAACTTTAATAAAAAAAAAACACATCGAACGAATACGACGTCTCTCTCTTTCAATCATTTGTCTGATTCTACCTAAATAAACAAGTTTATTTCAACTTATTATCTAATCAATCGGAACTGTTTTAACACGAATTGCGATAAGCGCTATTTGTAGCAAATATTAAAAAATAACATATCATTTATGTACAAATAAAAAACAAACCTGTATGTAGCTGTTTTTAATCTGATTAATAAAATAGTTTGATATTTAATTATAAATAAATAGTTAGGACAGCATTATAAATACTTAATCATAATCCTACTATGTACTAAATAATTTAAAAAAATGCAAATCTGTTTCTGTGATTTATTTTGCTTTCTTTGCATAGATTTTAATATAATAAATATAGAATACAGACGGACCATATATCTGACTTTTCGTCTTATTATACGCTGCAAAGGGTTACAACTAGGTAGTCCGTAATATACTCATAAACATCAAACATTCATAACAGAAATGTGGTGATAGGGTAAAAAGACATGTGTCACTACTGCCTGTCATTCTCAAGACGTCTTAACAGCCAACTGAGGGTAACAAAAGCACATCACACAAGTTCCTCGAAATAAAATCAGTTACCAAGCCGCTTAGTTATAATAGGCTAATAATATCCTCCTTTTATGATGAAAGGAAGACCCAAGCAACACACAATACCGTTTTGTATTATTAATTTATTAATATTGAAATAATTGAGAAAAGGGAAATTTTGTAGAAAGTCGTCTATATGGGCATTAATATACAGATTACATACTTACCTGTTTAATCATAACAGATATCTATCACCTCATGCCATTAAGTAAGCGTCAGCACCAATAATTAATCAGTCCGACCAAAACAAAGTCTTGTAACCGAGACCGAATTTGATAATCTAATCCACTTTCGACCGATACCGAAACCGTGATATTATATCAATTCAAAGTATTCGATGTTCAAAGTTCCCGTTAGCTGTTGTAGTGGTCTCTAATTAAAATGCAATTCCCTAAAAATATTACTTAGCTAATATTGTAACTTTCTATATTTGGAAGTGTTTTCAAAATCTTCCTATTCTTTATATGAATTTAGATTATACAATTAAAAACAATTATTTCACAAATAACTATAATAATAGCTTATTTTTACTAAAAATTATCTTTAGGGTGACACTTAAAGATTACTTTTAGGCAAAATAAGTTAAGTATTTCCATGTTAGCGTTTTTAAGTAATTGCTGTAGTTACCGAAATCGAATCTTCAATTTTGCACCGAAACTAAACGGATAGACCCTGAAAATTCGGTTGATACTATTAATTATAGCAGCAGATTTTATTCATTGTTTCTGTTCTATAAGAAGCTACTTACCTAATTTGTAGGTGTTCTTATCACCTGATAACTAATTTACCTGCCTGTAGTAAATTAATTGAGTTTGAGAAAGTCAATTATAGACTCGTAATCTGTAGGTACATATCGGATTACTTATGTACCATGTTTAAAAATAGCATTATTATATTTTTATTTAAGGTAATGTACATTAAAGAAAAACAAGTATACCGTTATTTTTATTTTTATTTTAAAAAATAAGCTATTTTATACAATAATACATATGTTGCATACTTTTCTAATTAGCTTCTGAAACTTTATGTAATTTTATTAACTGTTTTTAGATCCTTTGGTTACGTTCTTGTAATAATCCTGTGCTCACAGCGTACAGCGATATCGAGCCCCTAAGTCTGCGGTGAGACTTTACTTCTCTTTGTACATTTTATCCCTTATGTAACGGATTATGTTTAAAGGAGTTGAGCTGAGGTATGCTCAGCTACCTTCATAGCCATCAACGACTATAAGGTTTTCCTCGAAATCTAGAACTGCTTGGTAAATGAGTTTCCTCTTACACAGGATGTGGAATAAACTTTTTACCAGAAATAATGCTACTGATGTTGATGTTGCTCATCGTCTATGGAAAACGTTTACCTCTTAAACTTTTTTTACCTGATTCATTCAACATAACATTTACATCCTAAAATCAGAAGTTTTGCTAACTGTTGTCCAGTCTGGTGAATTTATGTTCTTTCTTATTAATTGTGGATAACGCTATATAACATACATATATAAATAATGGTAGTGTAGATAATACCTATACGCAGTGTAGATATACCTTTTTTTAACAAGTAGGTACAGTTGTATCTAGGCGAAAATATACTTTAATATTTTAAATAGCTTCTTTTTATAGATAAGTATATTAACAAATAGTCTACAAATTTTGTACAGATATTTTTTACACAATTCATATTTTAGGAGGGTAAATAGGTGCCGCCTACGTTTTTCGATGATATTTACCAAAGTCCTACATCCTTTCTACTTATATTTAATATCGAATGAATGAGTCTGTCTGGCACTTTATTACTTTTTCACAGTTCAATTATCAATTTGAATAAGTGCTGATAAAGATGATTTTATTGAATTTTTTGTATTTCATAGGATTTATAATAAGTATAAGCAACTTCGATAAAAATTTGAGGCCGTAACCGAAATCTTTTTCTATTTCAGACCTGAAACTAATCCTCGTATTATTCTTAATTGTTTTCAGTTGTCAGTTTATATTTAAAATAATATATTATTTATGTTCATTCTATGAATTTCATTCCATTCATAGATCTATTACTTATTTTAATGATATTAAATAGAATATTGACTTGGCAAGTGAATTTTATTATATTTTTATTATTTGTTAGTTATATCACGGCAAAGACCGTTAACCATCAAATGATAATAATAATAATAATAATAATCTCAGGACAAGTCACACAGCGCCATCTAGTCCCAAATTAAGCTAGCTAAAGCTTGTGTTATGGGTACTAGATAACTGATACAGATACATAGATAATTTTTTTTTCGTAAATACATACATATTATACATAGAAAACACCCAGACCGATACAAACAATTATACTCATGAATACAAATGTTTGTGCCGTGCGAGGAATCGAACCCGCGACCATCGGACGTAAAGCGGTGTGCTAGACCGCTAGACCACCGAGGTCGTCAGATGGGACATATGCTTGTTTGCCACCAAAATAATCTATAAATATATGCGTTATAATTTTGTTTTATTATTCTAAATACTTAAACCAATTATTTTGTTATGTTGCGAAATTCGGACAGTATATTTATTTAATTAGCAGAAAATGTTTTAACAGTCAGAATAATATATATTAGGTATTCCAGATATTTCAACTTGTTATTTAAATTACTCTTATAGTATTACTTTATATTATTATTACTATTACCTCTACGTACCTAATCGCGAACTGCCCTAACTGCCCACTTAGGAATAATCAAAATTATAAGTAGGGTGGGTGACCTGACTAAATAAATGTCTAGACAGAGCAATAATTGGGAAAAAATTACCAGACAAACAATTTTGCAAAATACATTTATTTTACTAACGTGTTTTAGAGACGATTTTCTCAATTGTTGTCATTTTAAAATTTGGACAGACGAAGTTCATCCTCGTCCGTCTGTCATAGAGCTATATTTCAGAAGCTACTAATGCCATCCAAATTAATTTTTTAGAAGGAATAAACATATGAAACTTTGTACCTGTATGCATATATCACATGTATACAGAATAACATTATTATTTTTTGGTGTACCGATTTAAAATAATTTCAAAGTACAGTTTATAGAATACAGTGAAAATGCCTATTTAAGTAAATTTGTTAAGCTTTTTTTTATGATTAGAGTGCATAAATGCATATACATATATGTAGATTAAATCTACACATATTATGTCGGTATATTCCTTTTTCTCTGCAAGGGGACTCGAAATCGGGACTTACAATTACAAAGGGTTAGTATAAACCTGAACTTAATTTAGATTGCGCTATCATAACAAAGCGTAGATTTTTGTTACCTAGTTTCAGTTTACGATCGAATATAACATCAACAAATAAATGCAATTCATTCATTCCCCAACATTGTTTTTAAGATGTATTAAGTAATTCTAAAAGTATTGTTACTTCTAAATAAATTATTTTAGATAAATAATTATGAAATAAATAAAATATTATGAAATAGGTATATTGTTTTCATTCTTATTAATGGAACCCTCAGTATTACACTGTGACTCGTATTTTAGAAGTATTTATTGTATAATAAACTTTAATGTACTTGGACACAATGTACCTTTATAAACAAAAATTATGATAAACAATCGTACCTAACAAAATTGTATCTATTTTTATTTTGTAATTGGTATAGTAGATATATTAATTTTTTCTATCACAATAATAATATGTAGTACAAATAATATTGTACATGTAATAATATATTTATAATAATATACACGAGAATAAAAAAAATAGGAAAATGAACTTAGGTATATAAAGTTGTGTGAACGTTTATTTATTCAGTTGTCTGTTTTTGTAGAAGCTTATGAAGGGAAATACCTACTGTATCTAATCTAGACAATTATGATGAAATCAATGGCGCTACTACACGTACGAAAGTTAGGTCAGTGGATAACTTTAGAAGTCCTATTTTCGTTCGGAAATAGACACACAAAACGAATAGAGCAGAGAGATACGTGGTCATGTATACTTTGTAATTTGTCCGCGGGACAGATTTCTACGAGGGATCGCATCGTAACGCACTTCGTCGTTTACGATGACGATTGACGATAGTCGCTTCAGAAACGCGCGATAACTACGCGGCGATGTGCCGATGTTGTTTGTTGCGGAGAAGGGCACGCAGTCACGTCACGCAGTGTTTACACCACCGCGTACCGCCCAAACGTACCACGTGGTGAACGAGACGGCAATTGGTATCTATTCCTTAAAACTATCACGTGTCTCGTAATTAGTAGTAATGATATAGAGCAGTAACAACACTAACGTACGGTGCTGACTACACTAGGCTTCGCGGAACCAGATTACCCTAGACGTAGGTAATCAGATTGAAAACAAATACAAACGCTACCTGCGCTCGGCGCCTGCCGTGGTTGTCTGCTCCTTGCGAACCGCAACTTAACAGTACGCAATTAATCCTGAGACACAAATATTACGATATGTTGCACTTTGTAACTGGCACTGATCACTGGTAGTGTATTAGGCAATAACAATAACAACACTACTGTAAACACAGCATGTGATAGAGAGCGAACAGAACACATACGACTCGTCAATTCAGACGCGCGCGAACGACTGATTGAACTGAAACGAACGAGGCGCGCGCGGGCGCGGGGCCGTGCCGTCGACCTAGTCGTGGAATGCGGCTCGCCCGTTCTCGCGTCGCGTGCTTATTTTTTTGGTCGGTCCAGCACTATAGGGCGCAAAGGGGACGCTTCTATAGGACCCTGGCTGCTAACTGAGACCCTCTGAAGCTCGGACTCGATTTGAACAAGACGAAGATGATTATTTACACCAACACTGTGTATCTGATCTGTATACTAAAGCACCGATGACACACCATGATTATTAAAAAAAATGCTGTTTTTCATCGATACTAACAATTTAGACTAAAGCTTAAATATTTATTGAAACCCCAATATAAAAATGACGGCTCTTATCTATTTTCATCCCCTAATTAACCCCTTAAACTACGATTTTCAGGTATAACAGTTAGTTTCAAGTTTAAAAGTACCTAAGGGACTTTGGTATTACCATATTATATATCAACACAACGTTCAACGCCCTTTTTACCCCTTTTCTTAAGGCCTTTAAGGAAATTATTAACTACCATATTTTATATCGTTGTCCAAAAAAACTGACGTAGGTATAACAATAACATTTTAATAATATCATAATCATCAAAATATTATAGGTACTCGTATAGAACTCATGGTTGGCCGCAAAGTTGCTTGAGGTATTTCATTCCTAACTTGTACGCAGTCGTAATAATTTAATTGACTGCGCTCTTCAGTAACCTACCTATTGGATTATTTAAGAAGGACCATAAAATGTTTTATTGTTTGTGTTTGAAGTCTTGAAAGTACTAACAATCAGTGTATGTAATACATAAATCATAACGCATCGTAAAATTTCCGGGCGCACAGACAACAAACACAAACTGATATAAAAATACTGAAATTGAACGCAATCCGGGTTCTAGTTGTGTAGCGTGCCGCCTCTTTATTTCCGTTTTATTGTTTTCATAATAAAACAAACAGACCGATATCATTCTATTTAAAGACATTCAAATATACTCCTAAAACAATTTGCAATAGTTATCTACGTAACTACTACTGGTTTCTTACGAAAACTAGATGTAAAGTAGGTTATGTAGGCACCATAACATTGAAGTTGTATATTCATGAAATCTTTTTTTGTTCTGGTATCATAATCTCGCCGATTCTCTTGAATCCTAGATAGGTATGAATTTTGCTAAATTATAGACAAAAACTTAGTGAACATTCTGATTTCTTTTGGACTTACTAGGTTTTGATTAACCGTATACGCTGGCGGGGCACCAGTAGATGATGATTAGATGTTCATCAGATGAGCATGACGTTTGGTCAATTAGTACATCGTGAGGTTCTGAAAACCGTCTTGATTAATTCCTGAATTTACCTGATTTTTTTCTTCGTATAACCATCTACTACAATTGTTACCCGTCAGCGTATACCGTTGAGGCAAATTTGTGCTATTATAATACATTAAAAAAGTAGTAACTGTTGGATGTGTCCATTTGGATGCATCGTCAATGTCAACCTTTAGAATACTCGCATATCGAATAGCACGTTAACACTGCATAAAAGTAAAGAAATAGAGGAAGAGCAAGCATTCTCTTGCATATAAATGCGATTCCGTAGTTACAAAGACTATTTGGTTGGTGCCACGTGTTTTGAAATGATTGTTGTACTCTACTGTGTGCTGGAGTACGCAATGGTTTATTTTTTTTCATTTTAAATAGAAATAATTGTGCCTTATACAGATTATTAGAAATCATTGTACAGCGCAAACTTTGTAGTATATGATCCTCGTGTAGGTCTGTATTAACTCAATTATTTGGATTTCATGAAAAATTAAAATAATCACAATGACAAGAAACAAGATTTAGTAATTGTTAGATTTATGTATATTTCCTGGAATGCTACTGTCATTTAGAAACATTAGTTAAAAATATAAAGATTTAGAAGCATTAGACATTAGAGATTTTATAAATAATAAAATAAATAATAAAAATTTACTAAAATAAATAATATAACTATCTACATAGTGTATGTATATATTTTTTAATCTACGTATTATTTTTGAAGTGAGATGAAACAATTTTATATGTGGTATGTTTCAGCAGCGCAGTCCAAAACTAATCCTAATCGAAGGACGTAATATAATAGGGCAATGCTGATAAAATCAGTAGTGATCTCAAATTATTCTACATTTCAAAGCGTTCAAACACTGTGTACTTATGTAAAAGAAAATAAAGCATTGCTTGCTTCGGCACACAGCGCCGAGTTCAACAACGGTTTCAAAACACGCTACTGCTACTATCTCGTACCACAAAGTAAATAAATAGAAATACTCAGCAGTACAGTAGCTATCATATTGCAGTAGAACGTATATTAGAACAGCAATACTTTTCTTAACTCAACGAAGCTGCAATTGTGTTTTTAATAACTAATTTGACGAAACAAAGTAACAACAATATGATTAGAACTATTTAACAATTTTTACTCCAACTGAAAGATATTGGAGGCATAGATTTATACTCCAACAGAGAGGCAGTGATTTATTAGTAATGTGGACTTAATGACCCCGTTGCCAGCATTGTACTATGTCTGGTTGACATCCACGCAGTTCACCCTGGAAACTATGGTTATGAATTCCTGGTGATTTTGCCATAATGAGCTAATTGAATTGACCTCACGCTCATCCTAGGCTGTCCCTCAAGCGTGTTAGGGAGGTGTATGTACCATTCCATTATATGCCAATAAAAAAATATGTTGAGTGCGAAGGCAACACGAGCTGGGTAAACCTTTATAATCCATAGATATATGGTATATAAGTGATCAGCATTGTTATATACATTTTTGTGTCAAATCCAATTTTTTAATTCCAATTTTAGAAGAATATCCTAGAAACCCAACTACTTTTTTTTTCTTATAATTACCCTATATGTGTTACGGCCACCGCATAAAAGAACGAAGTTATGCATAGGTGCTACAATGAGCTATCTCCAAGGAGCCGACATAACATTGGAAAAATTGTGTTATTGAGTTAATTTGGAGTTAGTTAGTTGAATTGGAGTATTGTGTGTTACGCGGGTATCATATCCTGGAAATAAAAATGAGTGGTGATATCTTAGTCTAACTCCGTTACTATTGAAGGCTCTTGATAGGGTATTTTTCGTTGAACGCTAAGGAATTGCTTGTTTGTCAGTAGGTACCGGCCCTTATCAGCTGCGTCATTGAAAAACGTTTACGCAACCAACATTTATCAATGAAAGCAAGTTTTTTTATCTCGGCGCCATGTTTGTACACCGTAGGACTCGAACCTCGCAATAATAAACATCATAATTTTAGGTAAACGTACCTTTCTAAAAATACCTAACAAGGTATACTTTGAAGTGAATGACACCATAACGGTATCTTTTCTCAATAAACAAACAAATATTACTTTAAGTACTTTACTTTTGTTTATAAATATTTTTAATCAAAGGGGACATGACAGAATATTAAAATAATATATATAAATAAATTCATCATCATACACATATTTTAACTTGTCTGATAGCAATGACTTAGTTTCTACTCTTTTTATGAATAGTAGGAATATAAAATATGGTACAAAAACAATACTATATGTATTGTTTTGTTCTTTTTGTACCATATTGTACCAAATAATATGAAAAATTCTAGATTCCGGTTTTTAATGTACTTCTCGATAGACATCGTCTACTGATAATAACCACTCAATTATACATAAGATAACTACATATATAGCGCCATCTATAATCTCGAAATAGATCACACTGTCTGTAACCTTAGATAGAGCTTTTGAAATATGTAACGGATTTAAATGCCGTTTTTAACAACAGATAGAGTGATTCAAGATGAAGGTTCGTATTTATAATACTTGTGTACTAGTTTTATTAAATACTAAATTTATGAATTAGTAGTACATGTTGAAAATATTCACAAAAGTAACGCATCCATTTTCCAGAGCTTTATTTGTCGTATACGTTGATCCATATTTAATCTTATATTGTATCAAAATTTTATCCTAATTCTTCTAGTCGTTTTTATGTAAAAGATTAACACATACTGTTTTTGTCTAGTCACAATATAATTAAATATTTGTGCGTACAAGTACTTGTAATGTTTTAGTATTATTATAAATATAATCTATCGACAGTGCTCTCACTTAACACTCGGCACCCTTCCATTTTGTTTACAGACGTAAACTTAAATTTACCTCTACTGAAAATCGACACTGCGTTGAGTGTTCGCATTATTCGTATGTTTCTGTAGTATAATATCAAATAAAATTGTAATTGGCAGTAGTACAAATATTTCAACTCACTACCAAGATAATATAGAAAACCAATAAGTTAAGTAGCGACACTTCACCACATCATACCTAATGCTACAGTAATGAGATCATAGCTATTAATTTAAGGGATATAAATTCTTATTTGCTTGATAAATTATCACATTCATGTTCTAAACCCATCAGTTTAAAAAAATATTAATCACTTTCCTACGTAACTCACATTACATAAACTGAAAGTGGCTGAAACGGTCACTTTCTAGTGCGTAACTATAGCGATTGCTAAACGTGTGATCAAAGAAAACCTTACGACATTAACATGTTTGTTTAGTTTCAACAGACGTCAAACCAATCGGAATGCTACACGTACAATATACAATCACAGATCTCATTCCTCGGTCAACACAGTGGTGCTGAGAGAAAAAAAGAGAAAAGAGAGTATTTTTCGAACAGAAGGAACACAATTCTTGTAATCCAGCATATATACGTATTAGTAGGTAAACTCTTCCAACTTAAGAGCTTTTTTAATGTATGGACAATCTTAAACGGACTATCTACTCGCCGGAGAGGAAAAATGGGCAGTGTGGGGTTTTTACCCACTAAAAACCTTACGATGTCTGTTTGATTCACCGTTGAGGGACTGCCGGGGTTGCGTTGGCGTTCTACAGCCGCTTCGGTAGCGTTGACTCACCTTCTAGGT